CATAGGGTTTCTCTCCTGTGTGAATCCTCTGATGTGTAATAAGCTGTGAGCTCCAAGTGAAGGTTTTCCCGCACTCACTGCATTCATAAGGTTTCTCCCCTGTGTGGATCCTCTGATGTGTATTAAGGCCTGATCTGCGAGTGAAGGTTTTCCCGCATTCACTGCATTCATAGGGTTTCTCTCCTGTGTGAATCCTCTGATGTGTAATAAGCTGTGAGCTCCAAGTGAAGGTTTTCCCGCACTCACTGCATTCATAAGGTTTCTCCCCTGTGTGGATCCTCTGATGTGTATTAAGGCCTGATCTGCGAGTGAAGGTTTTCCCACATTCACTGCATTCATAAGGTTTCTCCCCTGTGTGACTCCTCTGATGTGTAATAAGGTGTGAGCGCCGAGCGAATCTTTTCCTGCACTCACAGCATTTATAGGGTTTCTCTCCTGTGTGGATCTGCTGATGGCGAATAAGGCTTGAGCGCTCCGTGAAGGTTTTCCCGCACTCACAGCATCCATAGGGTCTCACTCCGGTGTGGATTCTCTGATGGTGTGAGGGCCTCCTGAACTTTTTCCCGCACTCAAAGCCTGTGTTATTTCTCTCTCCCATCAGGATTCTCTGCTGGGCCGTGGTTTCCTTGAGCCCTCTGTGAGTTTCCTGATAATTAACAGATATTCCAACTTTCTGCGCTGGTTGGTTTCTCTGCTGCATCTCTGTCCCAGGCAGCCCTTGAGAGCCTTTTCCCTGCTCACAACTCCTGGACACACTCCCTGTGCATCTTTGCAATAATGTCCCCTGTGGTTCCACTTCATCTTCCTGCTGAGGATTCTGCTCCATGGTCTCTCTCACCATCCCCTCACCTGATGGGACAGAGAGAGAAAAACCTCAGAAAGCGGAAGGGAAAAGGGGGGAACAAACCAAGAGAATAGCTGGAGATGGAGAAAAAACAGGGATTGAATTTCCCCAAACTCTTCCCCAAAGGGGCGAGGGGGGGGGGAAATCAATTCTGCATCCAGTTCCCATCCAAACACTCCCCAGGGAGAAGGGAGTTTGGGGAAGGAACTACTGCCAGGAGTTAGGATGGGTAGGAAGCCATGAACGGTATCTGCCCTGAGGGACCATACTGAACCCAGAGACCTCACAAGATCTTTGTTGGGAATCCCAGCTGTTTCCTTCAAGCACTGAGTAGGTTTAATGATCCCTCACCCATGCCGCTGCCTCTCAGGATCTCTCTTTCCTCTGAGCCCTGGAGATCTGGGGGCCACGGCTCTTCCCCTCGTTCCAGCTGGGAGATGATCTCGGGTTTGGAAACTGGGAACCCTGCTCAGAGGAAAGAAGACCAGTGAGATCAGGTAACACGCAAAAGAAGAAGTTACTCAACTTGTGCATCAATGATGGTTCTTTGAGATTTCTCTCCTTATGGGTGCTCCACTGTAGGTGCTAGCACATTAAAAACAGCTGTGTAGACTGGTGGCTTTCCACACTATTGTGCCCCTTTCAGGAGTCTGATTTGTCTTGCGTACCTCCGAGTTACACCTCATTTAAAAACTACTTGCTTACAAAATCAGACAAAAATACAAAAGGGTCACCGCACACTGTGAATTGCTGACTTGCTCATTTTTACCATATAATTATAAAATACATAATTGGTATATAAAATTGTACTTACAATTTTACACTAAAAGTGTATAGTATATAGATCAGCATAAGCAAGTCGTATGAAATTTTAGTTTGTACTGAGTTGGCCAGTAATTTTTCCATAGCAACTCTTGAAGACCTCTGCGGAACCCAGGGGTACACATACCTCTGGTATAGACACTGCAGCTCAGGCTTAAGAGACTGAGCTCCAGACCAATCTGCAACCGTTTTCTCTCTGTTGCTTTGTCTTTTTGCCCTGGATAGCAGCAAACTTAAGCCCAGTCTGTTTGTACCCTAGTTCCTGTGTCCAAAAGTGCAAGGCAGTTGTATTCCCGTGTTCTGCTTCCCTCGAACCCAGTCATTACACATTAACCTCCACTCTTTGAGACTTCCATTGTCCAGTGTGCAGCATTCATATGGGAACAGTCCTTGGTAGTGTTTCCATGTAACGGAGGCAGGCCTATGCGACTTCAACAGGAATTACATCCCCATCCCAGAAGAGGAACTCACTCCTTCATACCCAGTGACTAACAAAGCAAATTGAGAGGGAAGCTGACCCATGCATATTTTTCATTTAAAAAAACTACTAAATAAAGCCCCCATTCTCCAGAGGGAGACAAAGTCAAAGTGAAGGGCTAGGATAATGAATCATAAAATCACAGAAACACAGGGGTAAAAGGACCTCAAGATGTCAGCTAGTCCATCCTCCAGCCCTGAGGCAGGACCAAGTATACACAGACCATCTGTCTAACCTCTTCTTAAAAACCTCCAGCGACCAGCATTCCACAACCTCTCTTGGTAACTGTAGTGAGTCGGTGTGGCTCCCCTCCTGCCCAGAAGAGGGAGCCCACGTGCAGGCACCAGAGTGGGTGGAGCCACCGCCGCCTGTCCCCGCCCCCCGGAAGTCAAGGGGCGGGACAGGAAGTATAAAGGCCGGCCGCCAGAGCTCAGTCGGCGGCCAGCCACCACAGGGAGCAGACGTGCGGCCGGGAGCACCCGGCCAGGAGACCGCTGAAGACCGAGGCCTGGACCCTAGCTGGCCTGAGCTACCCCGGGCACACTACGAGGAGGAGCCGCCGGAGCCTGTCCGCTCCCGTCACTGGGAGAATCCCTGGAAACCCCACCCCACCAACCCTGAGGGTGAGACTGCACCCGAACCCCTCCGCCCCTGCTGCTACCCAGAGGAGCCGCCCGAGGACCGTTGGCCTGACTTCCCGGCAGAGCTACCGGACCTGCTACCGAGCCCTGGCCGAGAGGAGCCCATGCAGATGGACTGGCCCGAGCCCGGCGCGACAAATGAGGTAGGCTTTGAGGGGGATCATGGAAGTAGCCCGGGGGTAGCTGACCCCGGTCCGGCTGCAACCGAGTGTGAGCCAATGTCAGTGTGTTGCGGTCTGGATACCCCACTGACCAGCAGCGGCAGTAACCGGTGCTAGGGCCCCGGGCTGGAACGCAGTGGAGTGGGTGGGCCTGCGTTCCCCCCTGCCACCCCCGCTCATGGGTGGCAGGCTTCCCTCTCACCCAACGCTCGGCTGTAGTAGCCTAGGCA